ATAACAAGTTTACCATCATTTTTACAAAATCAACTAACAATGTTGTAAAGATGCAGGAAATGTCAAACAAACACTTTTACGTATCTTATTAGTTTAATAATGAGACTGTTAACATGCCTAAGAATTGAATCTGAGGAAATGTGAAAAATATGCTGAAAAGTGAAAAAACAGCATAACTTCTACAATAATGGCCCGATCATGCTGATTTTCGAACTTGACCTGCGTTTTATGAATATTCATCAGCTCTGTAAATATAAAGCCAAAAAGTAAAACTGCCCTCCACTTATCGTGTTTACAAGGAAAGTGCACAGCGCCGGCATCGCCATCGGCATCGCCATCGCCATCGGCGACGGCGACGACAGACGCAGGTGATGGCAATATGTACAGACACATCTGTGTCTGTACATAAAAATGCATTTCTTCAAGACAAACAATCCAATAAGCCTGGTTTTCTAACTCACGCTGTATTTCAGTTTTAAGAATCATTTTTGGAAGTTTCAGAATAATAAATAACTTGGTTTTCCTTTAATGGTCTTTAAGATGTTTTTTTTCATCAATTTTGATGCAATATTCAAAATGCTTAACAGCATATATTTACTGACAATTTTTAATTATGTACTGCAGTTTAACATGGATATTCATAAAATGTGACAAGGAAAGGTCTGCAGGCCCACTGAAGTTTAAAGTCACACCTTGGAAATGTCAACATGTTAAAAATGAACATTTTACACAGAAAAAATAGATAAACTCAAGAATAATAATCTGATCAGGTGGATTTTCGAACTTGGCCTGTATTGTAGTAAAATTGGACAGATTTGCAAGTTTAAAGATAATAGGTTTTGTACTTAATTTGTTATCTGTTCAATCAAGCTGATTTTTTAGCTTATTCTGTATTTTACTATTATTCATCAATTCTGCAAGTTTGAAGACAAGCCAGTTTCCAATTATTGTGTTATCTCTGAAGAAACACATGACAATGAAGAAAACACAACTGTGTCAGACATTTAAAATTTCCATTTTCATATTACCTACATACCCAGTTGTCCTTAGCAATGAAAGTCTTGTTACAGTATCTACAAGGTACGGACCTCAATGGACACTTGTCTCGCTTGTGTTCTGTTAGAAAACGAGGTGACACTTCCTGTCCACAATCTGGACACTTAACCTGGCGATATTCACAGGTTTTCTCATGATTCTGAAAATAATACATTAGTTTTATCAATTTAAAGTTTAATGGAAACGTGACCTGAAATAGATTTGCTCATTCTAAGATTAAGTAAACTTTCCCTTTCTGTGTGAATAGAGTCAAAATGTGCAAAAAGTATTAAACATAAATGTAGGAAATTACAAATTCATGTACAATGCATTCACTTCACCTAAAAAGGTATCAAATAATATTAGCTAATATAAGTTCATACATAATAGTAACTCTAACTTCAAATTTGAAATAAAATTTCGGCAGAGTTATGTATTATTACTTTTCACCACAAAGGAAGAAATATTCCATTCATTCCCACATCCCAAGTCGCTAGAACTTTTAAATCATATCACAAAGAACCTGAGACTTCACTTTGCCTATCACTTCCATTTTCAAATTTTCAATGTCTTGACACATTCAGTATTATTTTGAAAAGAATTCTCACTTCCCACATAACTGCTCTCTATTTGCTTACCAAGATCAAGAAAAAAAAACTTACTAATGAATATGGAATTCACTGCATTAAAGTAACCTAAACTATAAAGTTACCTTTCTGAAATCGCTGAATGTGCCACTAAAGCTGCACCCATTGTTGCTATTGCTACATCTTACTTTCAGTTCATCCAGCTCCTTTCTTGTAGCATTATCTGGAAATGTCTGAAAACATGGGATCATTTTAGCAGGTTTTATACTTATGGCACTCAATGAATATCCATTCTTCCAACACACATGATATGCTTTTAAATAACAGCCAATGATTTTTCTAAGATTTAAAAAAAAATTGATATTTCAATTGCTACATTTTACTTCCTTAACTCCATATTTTAGACATTTTATAAAGTAGCAATGTAGAACTGGAAAACAATTTTCTATCTTTTCAAGCAAGAGGTTGCCAGAAATTTAAGCATGGTTACTTGTCAAAGTTGGCATGGTGAAACTTGGACAAATTGTAGACAATTTTTATGTCTGTTCAAACTGTACACTCGTGAAAATGCTTTCATTCAAGAAAAAAAAAGGTATATTGACTTGAAACAAAATGAGATACTGTTGTACTACATGTATATACAGGTAAGCCCTTAAGAATACTCCAAGTATGAAAACACATTTTTGCTCTGTTTAGTAATTACATGAATAACTTATATGGCAAAACCCGAAGAAAGTTACAAGGATAATCAGCACAGGGAAAAAAATAAGAATTATGCGGCAAGGTTTAACAAATAAAAATAATATAATGAAAATTAATCAAAAGCAATCATGTAATCATTAAAGGTGGGTGTGCTGATGCTCAAGACCAAAGTTAGGAACTCCCAAAATATCATTGGCTACATACTGGCCTGCATGCTTAGGTAATTATAATCATAAAATCACAGGAAGAAAACATTGTGCCTTGAACCAAGTCACAGGATGATCTTTGGCATTTTTTAGCCTCTAAATTCTACAAAATATCAAGTAAGCTAATAAATAGGCCTTGCATTAGAACTTTTTATACTGTATATTTTACATTAATTATTAGGAAGGTTCCAATAATAACCGAGAAGTCTTTGATGTATGCCAAGCTGTGATCTTTACTAAAAAAAAAATTCAATTTTCACAAGATAACAATTGTTTGATACCATTTCCTCGCTTTCAAAAAATTAGATCCTGTGCTCCAAACACATAAGTAGATGTTAAAAATTTATATTGGCCAATCAAATAATATCATAACTCTAACAAAAAAAAAACAACAAAAAATGTTTTGGTGTGTAAAAAGAACTCATATAATTTTATACTGAAATGCTAGGTCACATGCTGTATGTTTACACAATTTCTGACAGGTTTTCTTTCTGCATATGAAAATGTGGTGTAAAAGTAGGTCAAACCTTTCAGATTGTATTGACCTAGCTTTTGTGATTAGTACTTCACTATGGCTTATGGTGGTAGATCGATAGATGAGAAAGCTGCAAACTGCCACAGTATGCACAACTCCACCCGCCAAACATAGTCCCATTTTCATTTTAGAAATATACATATAGGGCATATATATGTAATTAATTAAAGATTTTATTTAGTTAAACAAGAGTAAATAAGCGATGCCTTTCTTGTACTACTATCTATCAATCAGTAAATCTTAAGTATTTATACACCGGGCTTACATTTGGTATACATCTGTGTTACTATTTTACATTTTTAAAAGAGACTAATATCCACAAATATCAAATTTGCTGCAAGTATTAAATGTTGTCCAGTATCAGTACATATAAGTCTTGAAGGGACATATATATATTCTAAAACCGAGTATGGGAGAACGACCTAAAAAATTTTCCCCATTGGCTCTTAGCCTATTTCAGTTGATAATGGTAAACAAGATGGTTGAACAGATCTATAAAATTTTTAAAACATGCATATGGATACAACACAGCTATCATGAGCTCCCAGACCAATATCTTGTTGGCCATTTGCCAGTCGTCTATAAGTAGTCAACAACTTAAAAAGCATTCAGGTTCCCTTCAAAATATTGTCCGTAACTATAAAGGATTAAATGAAGGGCCAAAGGGCCGAACAAAAATAAATTTGCAGAACTGCAAACAGGGTCTCAAATGCTTATTATTCTTAGTATAAAGTAGAAAAGAATAAAGAACTCAAAACTAAAGCTACCAAACTGTTGTACAAGCAATAAATTCAGACCACATGTACCATATAAAATCCATAAATGAAACAAAAAAAGGCAATTCAATAGTTGCTTTCTAAAACAAAACAATAATTGATTTGGGTTTTATTTAAAGTACTATTGTTTGTCAGTCAACTGTTTACAACAGAATAACTTTTATCGCAAGACATTATACGAACCCTTATATATAAGTCTCGATGGCGCATGCGTACTATTATACCACGTACGTCACGGCGCATGCGTACTATTATACCACGTACGTCACTTCCTATATATTTTGGAACATGTGCTAGCTTGTGGGAGCCATTTTGATCTTGATAATCATCTGGATATCTTCCTTTCCATACATACTGTACGAGTATGTCACTATGAAGTTGACTATGTCTAGTGACTATGAAGGTATGTCTATAAACACTAGTTAGAAGGTGTCATCTTGCCTTGTTTTTTTTTTTTTTTTTTGTTAACAAAAGTCAGCTGAAGCATGAGTGAGGGGCACCAAAGATGCATTTGAAGTCAAATTTTTGTAACAAAAGCCAACCGAATGCCTCCATATATGTAGTTTCAAATGGTATAACTTAGAAAAATAACAAAGGATATCATTTACATTATCCAAAAAAAGATATTTGAACAGATATTTTCTGCTCACTGTCTGTGCTGAATAAAACTGGGTCATATAAGCATGTCCATGACCAAAAATTTGGAGGTGCAGTTTTAAACTCTATTATGGCTGGTCTAGTGATTAATTCAGTTTATCTTTCAGCATGTCTACTTGACTTGAGTATTAGAAACTAGTAGAAGTTGTTTATATGCATTACTGGGAATCCACCTGACCCACGTGCGCTCTGTTCAAATGCAGGGCTCGACAGTAAGGACAGCGTGACTGCCTGAAGCAGGCACACATCGATGCTTGCACATTCAGGTTTTTTGATAAAATGAAGCAAAAGAACATTAATTAATATTGAATCAAACTTTCAATTTGCATATGGCCACAGCCATCATACATGTATCTTTGAAGGCATTCCCTTGCTGTATTTACAGTAGTTTGCGCTTTCTCACTGGTTGACATTAAGCAGCTGGCTGGCCAATAGTGTTCACTCTTATATGTCTGGTTTGCTCTTGCACAAGGATGGCTTTCTTTTCAAAGGATCAAAATAATATTTTCTTGTGGTAGTTTGTTATTTGACCCTACTGATAGGTGTTCTGTAAATTTTTCATTTTTCTTTACTCTTTTTTCTAAAAGTACATGTTGGAAAATAATAACTGCAAACTATTTCACAAAATACCCTTATAACACAGGCAGATTTTCTTTACCTCTGTGGAAGAAAAGTTTGATGACATCACATGACATTAATGACCTTCTTAAAGCCACAGCTTCTAAGCTGCCAGTCAAAATCCCTTTCAATCCATATATATATATATATATATATATATATATGTGTGTGTGTGTGTGTGTGTGTGTGTGTGTGTGTGTGTTTTTCAATGTTAATTAACCAGCAGCAATGCAGTTATGTCACTGTTGATAACAGGTGTACATAATGTATATATAATAAGTTGTAGGCCAGTGCCTCAGGGGAAAAATTTAACTGTTCACTTACCTGCTTGGGTATTGTCAGTCTGAGCATTACATGTTTAAAGGTACATACGAACCGAGCACAGCGTGGATTCCCAGTAACACATGTAAACCACTTCTACTAGTTTCTTATATGACTCAAATAAACTTGACATGCCAAGGGATAAACTGAATAGATCACTCAATCAGCCATAAAAGACCTTTAGACTGCTGCTTTCTTTAAATTTTTGGTTGTAAATTTAACCTACTTTCGTGACCTACTTTCCTGCCCCATTGACATACAGCTTAGGCTCTATTCCCATAGATTTTAGATCGATCTATCCCCGTGGGGAGTCTCACTAGATTACTTCAGATAATCCGACTTAAATGTCCGTCCCGCCTACTACAAGCTGCAAGGAGGTAATTAACTTTCGTGTCCGCCCGGCTGACAGCTATTTAGCGTGAACCCCCAGGGAGTTAGGTCGATCTAATCTATGGAAATGGGGTGTTAGAATGCCAACAGAAAAATCCTTTCAAGCATCATTTCCAGGTAAAATTAAGCAATGCCTTTTGGTAATTCTTTTAGTTATACTACTTGAAACTATATGCTGGCATTTGGTTGGTTTTTGTGACAAAAAATTGACTTTGTATGCATCTTTAATTGACTATTGATAGATCAAAAAATTCAGAGACAAGATATTTAGAAAAATTACTTGTGTCAGCAGCAGCTGTAGAAAATTCAAGGAAGTGAGTGTCCAGATTGGAGAAATAGATTTTGTTGACCTGAAGGGCAAGTTACTGTCATGCCCTGAAATTTGTCTTTAATAATCATCATGCTTTTTCTTTCATGCCATACCTGGTCCTTGTCAAGCAATGAATCATCCCCTTCAGCTAAACATGCCTGGCAACTTGTGGTATGCAGGGAACTATTTTAAAGAAAATAATATTGGGTTATTCCACAGTATTCAGAACCAAAAAAAGGGCAGTTATAAAATGGCATCTAAACTAAGTTAAATTTACTCACCTTGTCCAATGCCTAAATATCCGTATTTTGAGCTATTTGGGAATTTACATAAAATTATGATGTGGATGCATGTAAACTCCCAAACAGCTCAAAATAATAAATCATAAAATCATATATTATCATAAATCATAAAATATATGGTTAAGTCAGGTTTTGGTGTCACTGAGGGGCCAACAGTTTTAACCATCAGAATTTTACCCCTGGGATTAAATTTGCTATTGACCATTAGGTAACATTTTGTCGAAAAATTAATTTAAACTCCTATAACAAATTACAAAAAAAGTTTTCTTAATTAACAGAAAATGATTATAGCTTTTCTATTTTCTGATCAGTTCTGAAATATTGGTCTACAAGTTTAAAAATAATATAATTGTTTATAAATCAACTTAAAAAATAATACATTGTTTATAAATTTATTTCTTTTGAAAATTTTCTAAAGAAAAAGCCATCAGAGAAAGGACACTTAACTCAAGGGAGAAACATTTATTATTTGTCACTTTTATGCATTTGATTCTTTAATTTTGTAATCAAAACATTGATTTAAATCCTTACACAAGCCACTCTTTAACCTGTAAGTGATTTCCCATCTCATACATTCAATCCCTTGCTCTGTCAAAAGTAACATCTAGCACTGAGCAGTAACCATGACATTTATATTTCATTAAGATGTAGTAATGACATAAATTTTCTATAAACTTGAGAAGCATTATTTAATTGGACTTCTTCAACAAATTTAAGTGTCCAAATCATTGTTTATATTATAATACTTACCTGAATATTTACCCCCATACATGTTACACTTTGAGGTTGCACACAATGTGTCATAATCTAGCAGATTGTATTGCGTAATAACATTCTTTTAATATTTAGGGAGGGTAAATTATAAGTCCAGCTCATTCAAAGCCAACTGCTAGTTAAAAAGATAAAAAAATTAAGAAAGCCAAAGCTTTGAACATATTAATCCAGTTTAAACAACTACATTGGAGTTTTACAAATCTGTAAAAGAATTTTGTTTTGACTCTTATCTAGTTTTGACAGCAATCAATAGATAATCTTAAAATAAGAATTATATATACAGTACCTAATAAGGCCATGTAAGCATCCATTACAATATCTATGGCCACAGAATGACTGGATGGGGTCATTCAACACTTCACCACAGTGGGTACACAGGTACTTTCTATCTAAGTTCTGACCAACAAAAATGCTCTGCGGGTATCCAAGTTTTACAGAAGGGTCAAAGATTCCTCCTGTTGCCATTGCAATACATTGTACTTGTACCAAAATCAAAAGGCTAAAACCTGAAATGGAGGAAAAATAGCATTCGCAAAATGGCCTTTCTTCAAAATCATATACTTTGTGTCCCTACAGTGTATACTGTCATTCCCCAATTGTTAGTTCTCCCACTTTCTTAATCCTAGCAAAAAAATTGACATTACCCATACCAATACACCACTGCGTTGTTACTCCCAGACATCTATAATCCCACACACTGTTTCTTCATACTCTGCCTTATCAATTTTTAAATTACGCATAGAAAATCATTGTCATTTTTGGGTCAGGTGTTTACAATTACTAGTAATTAAGTTTTTAAGTAAAAGGCAAACAATGCAAGTAAGACCTTCATACAGCTGGAAAAAAAA